TTTTTTAAAGTATGAGCAAAATGAAGTATGTAAGAACTTCCACATGATTGTGACACTAGAGCAGGGGTGTCCAAACTACAGCCCGGGGGCGAAATGCGGCCCGCGGGCCATTTTTAATTGGCCCTCAGCTAATTCCAAAAGTATAATGAAATATGGCCCACAAATGAAACTTGTGCTTGTCTTGTATTGTACTTCTCAAATATAGATGTAAACATGTATGTATTTCTAACCGATCTAAGTTGATAAGAAAAAAGCCCAATAACTTATTTGTGTAACAATCTTGAAATACACCCTTCATATTCCTCTTATTATAATCAATCTGAGGCTTCTGTTTTAAGGGATGAGCTGCTAATAAAATAAATGAAACCCTCTGGAGAGCTGGGATGTAGGCTGTGGATTTTCTTAAAGCATTTTCAAGTATCAAGCATCATTTAACTACATTTGATTGATTTTGCTGACTTATAACTGAACTTATGAGGCAAAATACCTCTCCTCCAGCGAGCGGCCCAGCCCTTCGTATATATTTCTGTATGTGGCCCTCGGTGAAAAAAGTGTGGACACCCCTGCCTACACTAGAGGGAACTGTTCATAGACAGAGTCAGGTACATTGTGAGACATCACCTGTGTTGTTGTGTTCACAGATTGAGACTCACTCTGAGACTCTGGGGTCGTTCTGCGGCAACACGCCTCCCCCCGCTCCCTTTCTCACTCACTCTCATCGTGTTCAAATCCACTTCACCTCTGATGGCTACGGCACTAACAAAGGCTTCAGTCTGGCCTTCAGGACCAGAGGTACTGCATTCTCCTCACATGAGACACCATAGAGGGGTGCAGGGATCACAAGGGTTCGCTCGCTAAAAAGCAATGGGATGTTTCCATTGGATTTCACAATATTACAGAAAATAAGATCTGTGGAAAACAAACGTTATGATTCTAACGTGTTGTTTTCAGCACGGTCCTTTCTGCATATTTTATATTCATTAGGTCACGTCACCACCGCTAAGCTAAGGGTGGCTAATGTTTGGAGTGATGATTTTCAGTCTCATTTCGACACTTTGATAGCAACTTTCATTTTAAGACGGGTAATTTTCAGACATTCACGAGAGGGAAATGTACTGACGTCATTTACAGACGTTATTTCAGGCGTCTAACCAAAGAGATGTTTAAAAAAAACTTGAAAGACAGGGCAACCAGAAGTGGTAAAATGCTGACTAATATCCGTGTTTTAGGACTCATCATTACTGCACCACTCAATGGGAACATTGTTTGTTGGATCACAAAGTATCACAATTGCTCCTTTCACATGTTGATTACAGATAAGGTGTGTCCGGCGGTGGTGAGCTCTGACTCCACTGTGACGCCTCAGCAGGCAGAGTATCGTCGGGGGGAAACAGTGACAGCAACTTGTGATCTAGGCTATGTCGCAAATACTGTGAGTGTACAGAACCTTTTTAATGTATTTCAATGGGATGTATTTATGCCCCTGTTACGCTAATCAAGTCATTATTTTGCAAAATAGCAAGGCACCCAGGCCCTGATAACACAGTATGAGACAACATGCCAGGACATAGGCGAATGGAATCCCAATTACAAATGTGAACGTGAGTCTGACTATCGATTTCTTCTTATTTGGAGAATGTATCCTGATTTGTTTTTTCTTTTTTCATACTGACACATTTTCTTCATTGGACCACGTTTAGCTGTTGATTGCGGTTATCCTGAGATCCCAGAAGATGGCATCCTTCAGCTGGTGGAGTCAGATAAGACCCAGACAAAGTACAAAGAGCAGATCCAGTTTCACTGCAGCTCAAAGTACTACACACTGGAAGGAGATGGTAATTAAATATATTTAGATTGTACACATCCATTGTCTGATTGCTTACATAAAAGTGTTCTGGTTTTGTTGTTTCCCCAATCCTCTTTCTTCCATCTTTCAGACACGTACACCTGCAGCGCCAGTGGTGATTGGGCATCAGGGAGTGGCAACACAGAGACGCCAAAATGCATTGAAGGTACGACTTTCAGTTTGCCACAGATCTTATTTTCTGCTTTATTCCAAAACCCAAATTCTTAAATCCCTCTGCTTTTTGTGGAGGGAGCGCTTTGCGGCGCTAACTTCCAGGTCGTCCTACAAAACTACGATATTCCTGCACCGCGCTATTAGTTAAATGTTTTAATTAATCTATTGATGACATTTTGTGTATTACAGTGTGCGGGAAGCTTGACAGACGCATAGGAAGTGCCGGCAGAATTGTTGGAGGTAAGGATGCAATCCTGGGAGAGATACCTTGGCAGCTTCTGATTACGGGTCGGGGCAGAGGAGCAGCGACTCTGATCAGTGACCGATGGGCTGTCACAGCAGCTCATGTGGTGGAAAAGGGGGAGGTAGAAGCTACCCGTGCGTACGGTGGACTGGTAGACGGAGGAACAGAAGTTATATCGCCTAAAGGAGTTCTCTTGGACATTGAGAGGATCATCATTCATCCCAACTACATGCCGGACCGCAACCATTACGACCATGATATTGCTCTTATCAGATTCTCTTCCAGGGTGAATTTGGGCCCAAACCTCCTTCCCGTCTGTCTGCCGCAGTCTAACAGGGGCTTGGTGGACGGTGAACTAGGCACGGTGTCAGGCTGGGGGGGGACGGAGACTGCATACATTTCTCAAAGCCTGAAATACGCTCATATTAATGTCTACTCCTCTACAGTGTGTCAAAATACACTGAAAAAACCCATGATGTTCACCCGTAACATGTTCTGTGCTGGATCTGCTACAGCGGACAGCTGCAGGAGGGACAGCGGGGGTCCACTGGTGATGCCCATGGTGTCTGAAGGCAATGAGCCCTACTATCTGACCGGCATTGTGTCCTGGGGAGCCAGGTGTGTTCATAAGCAGTTCAAGGGTTACTATGTCAAGGTGGAGAATTATGTACCCTGGATCAAGGAGACAATAGATTCAGTCGAGCAATCCTAGAAGGAGACGGAAGAGGGAGAGAATACTTTTTTACTAACCTTTATATCGTTATAATCCAAGACTGATTCAGATCTTAGAATAGACTATACTATTGTAATGACGTATCAACATTAATAACATTAAGCATGATCTTCTTACTATACTTTTGTATTAAACACATTTGCAAATATACTGCAGAGAATGTGGGCTTTAACCAACTTCATAACACGATGTGTATTTGTTATCAGCTTATACACACTGTCTGTAACTTGGCATCCATTCCCTGGAATACTTCATTATTTCATGATTGAACTGTAAATCAAAATGTTTTGAGCGCTGTGTGTTTCACTGATACTGAAGTGCTCTCACATGACAAGCAATAAACTTCATAACTCATGTTGTTGCTCTCCTGTTTACATTTATTTCTATCATAAAGACACACATTCAATGTTCACAGAGCTGTACAGGAGAAATGTTCATAGACGACCACAAACCAAATGTTTCTCTAATTTGATGTGTGTGTTTGTTTCAAAGTATATTATTAACATGATTGTCTTTGACCAGATGATCGTGTTTGACTAACCTCTAAATGAAACGCCTCGCTTCTGTGTTTGAAGACGCTGAAAAAGACTAGCAGCCCCCTCTAGTGATGGTTTCAGGTCTTATGAGGAATTAACACATTAGACCTGAAAGCTACAATTATAATCAGTGTAGTTTTTCTCAATAGATAATAATGTATAGTTCAAAAGATCTTCCTAATTGTCTATTTCAAATGATCTATCCCCGCATCGACCCTGTTTTCTACATTTCTAAAACCACGAGCTTGTTTCGATTTTGCCAAAACAAACAAGGCTTCTTCCTGGCATTAACGCAGAGAGTTGCTAAACACTGCAAACGACGGGTATTAATGTTTCACTTGAATGTCCCCAAACGGCAGAGGATCATTTCACTCACGGATAAATCCTTAAATCCTTAAATCCAGCGATGGCGTGGACTTCCTGTATCATCTTGTAAGTTTGGATTTAGTTTTCAACCCATTTTTATGTTTCATTGTAATAGTTGTTGTCATTAATGTCGAGGTTGATTCCAAAATGAACTTTGATTACCGTCTGTCATTATGGAGCTGCTTTTTTGATCACCTTGTGTTTTATTCTGTATAACCAATATTACAGATAAGCAGTGTTTTATAGGTTGTCTGCATTTCATTCACTCACATATTAAAGCCTTAACAATACGCTTGCCACAGTTGTGTTGATTGTCACGTTGTTTACTCTTTTCTCTGTTTGCGTTAACTTTGGACCACTAGTTGATAACTAACTGATTTAACTCTGTTTGCACTTCATCCAGGTTCCTGTCAGTGTGTGTGTGTGGGGGCCGGCGGCTGCCAGACCCCGAGCCTGCGATGCACGGGGGGGTCCAGTCCCCCCTCTACCCCCAGCCGTACCCCCCCAACCTGCAGCAGCAGTGGGACCTCAGCGTGCCGGAGGGATACCGCATCACACTCACCTTCACACACCTGGACATCGAGGCTACTGCAGGCTGCTTCTACGACTCCCTCTCAGTCAGAGATATTTATTCATTTGTTTATTCCACACATGGCAGTTATTTTAAAACATGTACAACTTTACAAAACATGTACACTTATACTGGTTGTTGTTTGTATAGTGCATGGTGTAAAGGAGCAGGGAGAAGAACATCTTCATTGACCTGCCCCTTCTTACAAAAATACTATTTCAGTCAGTCGCTTATAAATACTGAAACAAAACCCCAAATTACCACTAATTAGACTTTCTTGCTTACAGCCCTTTAAATCATTCAGTAAAGAATTCCACTTCTTTACGAAAACTACAGAGACACACATCTGCTTTAAAGTAGTGCGTGCAAACTGATGCTTAACATTTCATTTCCTATGATGCTCCTCCTCTGAAATGTCCACCTGAGTTGTAGTGTTTGTAGAGTAGTGGTTTGACCAGTGCTGTGTAATGTAACTCAATACATTTACACATGTACTGTACTTCAGTACAATTTACTTTACCTGAGTATTTTCATTTGATGCTATTTTATCATTTGACTCCAATGCATTTCGGAAGCTACATTTAGCAGCTGTAGTTACTTACTTTGATACACATTAATGCCTCAATAATCATAATCCAGTCATTTCATATTCATTATTCTGAAATGGCCAATAACACGAGTATATAGTATAGTATATTTTAATGCCAATTTATCTGTTAAGTAAGAATTTTAAATCAGGACTTTTAATCTTTTTTATAACAGTATTTTTGACAATGTTAGTATTGCTAATTCTTCTTAAATAGTCAATCTGAGTACTTCATCCACCACTCAATGTGACTCAACGCCAGTTTGAAAAACCTGACTAAATATTGACAACAGTTTTTCTGCCAAAATGAACATAGTAGATCAAGTTCTGCTGATTTCCCCAAATGGGCATTAGAGTATCCCAGTATAATTAACTGCATGATGGGGAATGCAAAATACCTCTGTGAGCCTCCTAGCAAAGCTCTCTGGTAAACGTTTCCTCCCATTTCCCATTTAATGGCGTCATTTAGATAATTAAACCACTTTCTGTTTTGTGCTCGCTGCCAACCAATTCCCCGCATACTAATGTTTCCCCAAACAGATGTGAATGTGTTCTTTTTCCAATATACTAAACTACAACTAGTTTGACATATGCCAGTTCAGAATTTTAAAGTCAAGATTTGCATATACTATCTCAAAATAGTTATAAAAATCGGACAAATGAATTGTGTTTCTAGTCATCACATGTAGCTCCGTTTTGCTCTCCGCTGACTCGACAGAAGAATTGTTTTTGAGATTTGAACTCTAAATCTAACTTGGACCACTCTTGACTTTGTCTCCTGGTTCGGTGACTCAACAGCAACACTGCAGTAGATTCAGCTGCGCGGTGTATTTTACATTATCTTTTCTTTCAGGTTTTCTACGATACAAAGATCCTCGGGAAGTTTTGTGGCCTTGAGAACTCAGCTGATGGACATCACCCCGGCAACCAGCCCATCTTGTCTCCAGGCAACAGACTCAGCCTCGTGTTCCAGAGCGACGACAACAACCCGGAGCGCCGCCAGAACGTCGGCTTCTCCGCTCAGTACCAGGCAATAGGTAGCCGAGGAGCCTAATATGTTTGTTTTTGTTATATTATTGGGTTTAGATATATCTTGCAGTATTATTCTGGACACTTGGTAGTGGTATTTAGGTGCACTGTAAGTCAAAATAGAGGCATGGAAAGGGGGCGCTCAAAGTTCTTAGCGGACCTACAGACCATACATGGTACGTTCCTCTCTATAGTATCAGTATCTTCCCCAACATGTTGACTGTTGGTGATCAAACCACCTATCTTCTGGTTGTTGGACAACTCTACTTCCTTCTAATCCACAGTCTGTGTATTCAGGGTGTCCGCAGGGTCTTAAAAAGTATTAAAAGTTGATAAATCAATTTAGCAAAAATTAAGGCTATTAAAAAGTATTAAACGCATTTTCCAAGGTATGACATTTTGTAGCTTGTTTTCAATAAGTATATAAATGGTCCAAAGAGGTTGTGTTCTACAGTCTGCCTGAATGTAATCATGGCGTAGGTGTGTAGTGTGATTCTGTGTAGTTTATTGATGGCATCCCGTTGGATTTGACGTCATCTGAACAGGACATCGCACGCTCACTGCTTGATAGCGCCAAGGTCCGTTTACGCCGGTTGTTAAACAACATCGTTATGGGGAAATGCAAGTCTGCGTCCAAATGGTTGGAAGATACGGAGGAAGGACAATCAATACTGTGTATAGTCAATGTGAGGTACAGTAAAGTGTGTCGCCAAGGTAACCGGTTAGAACTCCAAGTGGCGATGAGGTCTTAACATGTACGGAAAGGGTCTTACAAGAGGTCTTAAAAGGTTTGACATTTGACTTCAGGATTCCTGCTTATACCCTGATACAACTACTTTCATAAACGACAAACTAAAGTGCATAAAACCACTGTAAAATATTATGGTTTGTGTCTGGGTAAGATAGAAGAGGACATTGAAAACATACAAATTGCCATTACAGGAAGCACACAAGGGGAACTTTGACTTGCAGCAGAGCACAATAAACAACAACAGAAAACACAGAACAATACAACAATGAAATATAATGTATTTTTGTAGGGTTGGATAAGATAGAGTGGTACAGTCCTTAGTGTTGGCAGAACGTGGCATTTACCTTTTGAGCAAATTCAGCATGTTTATGGCACTAGAAAAAAAAAAGAACGCATCAATGGTCACTCTTCCACCACTGATCCTCATCCCTCTAACCAACGTGTTTTATCATCAGACATAGACGAGTGTTCTGATCCAGATCCTGAAGACGGCTCAGGTCCGCTCTGCTCTCAGATCTGCCTCAACACCCTCGGCTCGTACCTCTGCTCCTGTCACCACGGATACGAGCTGCGCTCAGACCAGCGCGGCTGTGTGTGTGAGTGTTGAGTATACAGACGAACAGGGACGTTTTTATTCCCACTTTTCTGTGTCCATGAGCTTTAAGTCGTAAGAGGGAAACATTGTTACTCCTCCAGGTACATTTTTCTCCAGTCTGGGATTATTCTTTTCTGGTTATTTAGTTTGTATTGTTATCAGCTTTTGATCCAGAACTGCTACAGATGTTAATGGTTACTTCCTCAAGCCCATGCTACACCTTTTACCCAAGTTGTATTACAAATTGGGCTAGTAGTTTTACTGTCTTAAGTATATCTGCATACCGAGCGGAAATCATAACCTCCTTTGTGGAGTGAACAAACACTTTTATAAACATTAAATCTAAGTAAATATAGCATTGTTCAAATCCAAACAAGGCGACAAACAACATGTTCAATTTCATGAATATGATTTGATGTTACGAGTTAGCTAAACAGCGGACGATTGAGCCACTGATGGTGAAGCATGAACAAAGCATTTAACACTTCAAATCCAGCCTGAAAACACACCTTTTTAAACTGGCATATTCAATATCTTAATTTTTCTAAACTGATTGTTGTTTTTAAGTCTTGTATTACTGTGTGATCTTCTTTGTTGCTTGTTTTTAATTATGCTCTGTAAGGTGTCCTTGAGAGCTTTGAAAGGCGCCCATAAATAAAATGCATTATTATTATTAACATCAATCTCCTTCTTTTGATTTCCCAGTATCCTGCAGCGGCGGTATATTTGATGAGCCAGAGGGACACCTGTTCAGTCCAGGATATCCTGACCCCTCGCCTCATGCTCTGTCCTGTCAGTACTTTATTTCTGTAGAATCTGGCTTCACTGTCGCTCTCAACTTCACTGACAACTTCCACATCGAGAGCGTGGACACTGAGCAAGGAACAATCTGTCCCCATCACTGGTTGCAGGTAACGACGAGCAGCCTCCTTACATTTCATATGAATAACTTTGCTAAACAGATATAATAAGTTAGCTGTGTCTATTTAAAAGGTGACCGTCCCAGACAGAGAGCCCTGGAAGCTGTGTGGAGGAAAGAGTCCAGGTCTGATAGTCACAAGCTCCAACAGCGTCCGGCTGGACTTCCACACTGACGGGGAAGGCCTGAGCAGAGGCTGGAGCCTGGACTACAGCACACACAGTGAGGGGGGGAGGAGTGGGAGGAGAAATAAGCAATACAAGTACTGCAGGGAGGATGTCTTTTTGTAGGTGAACCCTGAAATGAGCATGGTCCTGGTTCCATCCACAAAAAGGCACATTTATTTTTCCATTCCATTTTGGACTATTGAGGGAAATAATCGGGATTGCAAACAAATAATTCTGACTTTTGAAATGATTGAATTATTTCACGTTTTGTTAAGCAAGATAATCTTCACAGCTGATCATCACTTCAAATTTCAGAAGTAACCCAACTTTTTTTTTTATCACATATTAAGCTTCACATTTCAAGACTTACTTATGTCGTCGCAAAACAAAAATATCTTTTAGCTTAAAGCTTGTTAAAGGTCTCCTATTATACTCTGTTATACTCGGTCTAAGATACATACAAAACATGTCTCTGAAGTGTTTGGCTCAAAAAACAATCATGACATCACAACTTGGCCAAATCTGATTATCTCATTTCATTCAGATTGGTAAATAACCCCTAACACTCTGGGGACACATATTAATGTATACAAGACAAGAAAAAGTGCATTTTGCATAATTGGTTACCTTTAACCGGAGACTTTCAGACATCTTGCCAAAAAGACATGACCAATATACTTTTGAGATGAAGGACTGGAAGTGCAAAAATGATATCATGTCTGGGACCTCGACTCATTCCTGCAGCACTCTATTCATCAAGTGTCAGAATATGTTGGCAGAGAAACAGTGAAATGCATTCCCCTGCTTACTGTATATGCAGTAAATGATACATGTCTGCTTGATATCGTTTCCAGGAGTGAAGTGTCCATTTTCTGGTAGTGTGGATAATGGCCGGGTCACCCCCGACCTGAGCGAGTATTTGTACAGAGACTACATCTTTGTGCGCTGCGACCAAGGATACAAACTCATGATGGTTAGATCAAACCTTTTTTTGTTTCAATGGAGGGCACTTCTTTGTCATTTTGTGTTTTTACAAGTTCCCCTCTTTACTTTTTCAGGATGGTAAGGAGGTTGACGGTTTCTCTACCATGTGCCAAAACAACAGACAGTGGCACCTTCCTCTCCCAGAATGCCACAGTACGTTACCTTTAATCTCCGTCAAAACATCCAATTGTACATACATGGAAACTGATTTTGGATTCAAGGTTCAAGGCTTTTATTGTCATGTGTTCATAGCTACAGTGTAGATATGACAATGAACATCTTAGGTCACAGGCTCCTCCAACAGTGCAACACAGATAAAATAGAGCAAGTCAATACAATAGAATAGAATATGATAGGAACTGTGCAGAATAGTCTATACAGTCATTGGAATATTGATATATATGTGAGTTGCAAACAGATTAATGTTATATGTTCTTTCAAAAGTTCAGGATTCAACCTTAAGTTTAGTGTTCTTGACAATCTCCTGTGTTCCTCCATATGAAGATGTCCTTATTTTGTTTGTCCTGCAGTTCTTGATTGTGGAGAACCTGAAGCTCTGCTGAATGGAGGGGTGAACTTCCTGTCTGGCTCTCAGAATCAGTTCCTTTCTGTTGTTCAGTATCACTGTCATGAACCGTTTTACTCTCTCCTTGGAGGCATGAATGGTGAGATATTGATGTGTAATATGCTGTCAAGTACAGCTTAAGACTGTTCCCACTATTCATACCAGCCATAGCCCTCAGTTAGCAGACTCGCATGCAACTTACATGGAACTGATAATGCACTTTGGAGGCAGATTGATTTCTTTCCTGCTTTGCATCTTACCAATATTATGTATTTTGCTGTTAAAACTGATGAATTGACAACTGGAGGAATATTTTAGAGTGTGAATGGAAATCAATGGAAGAATGGAAATGCATTCAATACAAAATATATTTAAAAACATATATGTATTTTAAGCAAAGTTAAACCAAATGGGCTGAAGAAAGTCAAAGTTCCCTTAAACAGTAACCAGAAAACAAGCCAGAAAACATTTGGTCCATTGCAATACCTACACTACTAAAAGTTTTAATAAGCGAAAACAATTTGAGTATGTTTCAATACATGGTATGTCAAGAATACCAGGAAGCTCTACTGCATCAGGTCACATTTTGAATATGCAACCAGGCATGCTTTTCTCGCTATTTTGAGCCACGATCCTTTGCACAGCGGATATATGAGCAACGTTCATGATGAGGGCCGCTGCAGTACATAGGGAAATTACAAAGTTAACATGCAGTCATTTGGAAGGCAGCCATTGTTTCAAAGTCCTTTTTTAAAGCATCACATCAAGTGTGCTCTGTTTCTCCTGTTACCACACACAACAGTGATACTGACACACACTGGAGTACACTTCTACTCAACTCACTGATTTGTCTTTATGACCCTCTACTCTGCAGTGGTCTTCACCTGTGAGGCCGACAGAAGGTGGAGATCCAACAGCGATATCGTTGTCAGTCCAGCATGCATACCAGGTACTGCTTTTCATTACAAAATAAAAACCTACAACACTTAATCTTAGTTTGAATTTGAAGTGTGCACTTGTGTGACACTTTGAACATAAATATATGTACTATAAACCTCTCTTTTCCACTCAGTCTGTGGCCAGCCCACACAGCTCATCTCTGGCTTTCAGAGGATCATTGGAGGCGCTGAAGCTCCAGCCAATACCATCCCATGGCAGGTGCTCCTGAAGAGTGGAGGAAGAGGAGGAGGCATGGTGATTGCAGACCGCTGGATCATGACTGCAGCTCATAACCTAATGTCTAACGGAAATCCAGTAACGAGCGACACTGTAGAGGTAAGTGTGCCGAGGTGGAAGGCAGGGTTTCGCACACAAAGAATTTACTTGGGCGGGCCGCAGTAACTCCGCTGCGAGGGTCCGGCGAACAGCTCATGAGCGTGCTCCACTAGCACCCCCCCCCCACTAAAAACAGTACATAGTTACTGTCCACCATTGTACTGTAGGTGGGGCACTGTGGGTGTTATCTTCATCCCAAAATGTAAATTAATTTCCTGTTATGCTGTCTATTTGCAGATTTTCACGGGACTCACTCATGTTACTTACATGTTGGGACCGCCTGTGCTTGCGGCTTCAATCCACATTCACCCTGAATACAACAACTCCAACTACGTAAACTACAACCATGACATTGCCTTGATAAAAACGCAAGACCCAATCACATTCAACTCCTTCGTTATGCCCATATGTTTGCCAGCAGGGGATGCCACGTACACTATGGGCGAGTCGGGGTAAAGAAACAACTGGTTTTCATTTCATTATTCAATATAATCAATTTCTTTTGGATTCTTTTTTTATCCGCCTTATTTGATCTTGCTTTTCTTGTTGTGCCAACATGTGAATCTTCAAAATTGGAGACTTTTTATTCATTACACTTTCTTATTTTTGCAGACTGGTGTCAGGATTTGGCATGACAGACACTGACACACACGTTCGGATTTTGTCAAACCGATTGAAGTACGTGCAGATTCCTATGGTGGGGCAGCCGGAATGCAATAGGTCCATCACTTTGGAGCAGAGCACTAGAGCCAATGTCCCCGGTCTGACAAATAACATGTTCTGTGCCGGGATGCCTGAAGGGGGGAAGGACTCCTGCCAAGGGGACAGTGGGGGTCCGTACGCCACGTGGAAGGACCAACGTTTCTGGGCTGCGGGGATCGTCAGCTGGGGGGTCGAGTGCGGGAAGAAGGGAACGTATGGAGTCTATACCAGAGTCGCAAATTACATAGATTGGATCAACAAAACCATGCATGAGAACTGAAATGCCCAGTAATTCAAAGACGTCCACCATAAAATGACTTAAAAAAACAGCTAAATTTGCTTTTTACATAGTCTTTCTGAGGTGAAATATATGTATTGTCACAGGAAAGCTATAAAACAACATCATACAGTTGTCAAAATGATAAATAAAGTCAATACAGACCTAAATGTGACTTTACATGTCAGTATCTCGTTTGTTTTTACAGATCTTCTCTCTGGTAAACACAACTCGATAACTGTCCACTTCCACATGCATTTAACAAACTTTGTATATGGTCCCTATCATACCATACATGCCACTATTGTATATTATAAATTACTCAACTTCTGACTCTTCACAAACTCAGATTTTGTCCTCCTGGGGGTTAAATTCATTGCAGAATGGTACATGCCCCAGGCCGTGTGTCATTCATGCTCCATTGAGACGTTTAGCCTTAAACAGCAGCTCCTACGAGATCAACTAAGTGCAAACATGATGCTGTGGACCTGCTGTGTTATTATTTGGTAAGTGTTTTTTTAATTCTGCTAAGTTGTACTTTTACTCCACTACATTTATTTAGTTACTCTAAATCAGACTTTAGTTCCACCTGGAGTAAATTCACAAGCTACCCTGCAGAATACAAAGTCATTCAAACTAGCTGCACCTTTACCAGCTCTGAGAACACTTTCATGATCAATCATTATAAAACATATCAAGTATATTATTCTTTTACTGTCGCTACTTTCACTAAATTTTGATGCTGATACTTTTCTACTTTTACTTGAGTGACATTTTGAATTCAGGACTTTTACTATAACAGAGTATTCCTACACTCTGGTACTTCTACTTTTACTCAAGAACAAGATCTGAGTACTTCTCCTAACATCTGCGTTTTTGTAATGAATAGAACGGGCCTAACGAGTGCTTGTTTCTATAGTAACCCCTGACCCGCTTCTTGCTCTTCTCTCATTGGAGGATGCTCTCTGCTCACTTTCACTTTCTCTCCTCTGCTTCTGCTTACTGCGCATGCTCCGGATAGCGAATCGGCTCATTGCCTATAGCTCAATAGTTTACTACTATATTAGATCAATTTCTGAAACGCTATTTTACATCAAGCATGGGATGAAGGAGAGGCTGTAAAATACCCGGATTGTACCGATGCAATTAGCTGTTTTTAGTTTTTAAAATCAAAAGTGAAAGTACTTTGTTTTTTTTGTGTTCGATAGAGGTTGTTTCACTTGATCTTTTAGTAACATACTAACAGTTAATCATCTAAAAACACTCTTTATTCCTAAAAAAACCACTCAGTTCCTAAAAACACGGACACCGGAGGACTCCCTAATGATGATTCAAGTCATTTTGTTTGGATACTTCCTGACGTGCGTTTCTGGTAAGATAACTCATGATGGCATATTGACGCAGCACTGAATGGACACTAAATGTACCTTCAGTTATGAATCTTGTAAAGAAATATTAATTTAACCTTAATGTAATTGGCACTAATTAAATGGAAAATGGAGATAGTGTTAACTTCCTACACTTACAATTAATTGTATCAAATGAACTGCTAATGTATGACCTAGAATAATTTCGTGCATAATGGATCATTTTAACATGCACAAATATGAAAAAGTAAATGTCATCAGATGTGTGAGAAGAAAGAGATGTTAGCAATACATAGGAGTTGAATTCAATGACTTGTCTTTATATAGAGTTTGTCAAATTTAATTAATCTGGAAATCAACAACTGCTTTTAAAATCAACACAACTAAAAATAATTTTAGGAAATATCTCAGAACTCTGTCAGGTAATCTGTCCCAGGTAATGTAAGGACATCATTAGGAAATAGTGGCTCCATAAAATAAAGTCTTGCTTTTTGTTCATTAGTAGTCTTCTGTTATTCATTTACCTAATTATGTTAAAAAAGTAAAATGTTATCCCCCACTTCTCGAGTAATAACTTGTCATTCATTAATTCTAGATGAGTCAACGTTTTCAAGTTTTATATTCCCTCTGTTCCTCAGGTGACGGGGTTGCGGATGTGGTTCTCTCTTGCACCCTGGTGGAGGAGGGGGTGGGGGTGGATGGGATGGGAGGCGGGTCTCAGTTCAGACGGACTCCAGCCACTCTCATCCTAAGAGACGTCCCAGTGGCTCCTGACCAATCCCTGGAGACGCTCACTCCGTTTGTCCCGCCTTCAATCCCTGACCCAGATGCCATCCTGATAGAAGCCAAAGGTGGTTACTTCCTTCCTTTATATTAAAAATTTGGTGTAAAATGAGCATGGCCATTTTAAGGTTCATATCAGTATGTAGTGTCTCTACTTTAAAGAGTCCTCTCCTGCTGATGTTCAGGTGTATATCAGTATGGGAGTGTCTCTACTTTAAAGAGTCCTCTCCTGCTGATGTTCAGGTGTATATCAGTATGTAGTATCTCTACTTTAAAGAGTCCTCTCCTGCTGATGTTCAGGTGTATATCAGTATGGGAGTGTCTCTACTTTAAAGAGTCCTCTCCTGCTGATGTTCAGGTGTATATCAGTATGTAGTGTCTCTACTTTAAAGAGTCCTCTCCTGCTGATGTTCTGGTGTATATCAGTATGTAGTGTCTCTACTTTAAAGAGTCCTCTCCTGCTGATGTTCTGGTGTATATCAGTATGTAGTGTCTCTACTTTAAAGAGTCCTCTCCTGCTGATGGTCAGGTGTATATCAGTATGTAGTGTCTCTACTTTAAAGAGTCCTCTCCTGCTGATGTTCAGGTGTATATCAGTATGTAGTGTCTCTACTGTGACATGTCTCCATGCTTTAATGTTCACAAAGTTCTTTATTTTTCTCATACTGCCTGTGCTGCAGCACCTCTTTTCACCCTCTGTCTGAAACCAGAGCCCAGTCTGCTCTGATTGGTTAGCTCTGTTGTGATACCGCTTAGAGATGTCCCGCCCCTTAGTCTATCACGTACAATGTGTTGGAGCGCTAGCCAATAGAAGCGCAAGTGTTACATAGTGATGTCAGTATGACCAACAAAGGAGTCCAATGGAGAAGTTTCATGTGTGTGTGCGGGAGAGGGAACACAGGGATTTTAGCCTTTGCAGACCATTTACATGCACACAAACCTATATAACACTACAGGAAAGGGTGAAAAAAACCCTCTTTAAATGCCTCTTGTCCTTCCCTCTGTTGCAGTGTCGTCCCCTCAGATCCCTGATGCTCATGTGTTGCTCCACGCTGACTGCAATGAGCAGGAGGTGACGTGTGAACTGAGCCGTTACTCTCCTCATGGACCCCAGGAGGCTCAGGAAGCGACTCATTTCCTGGTGTCTCTGAGTGTGGAGGGAGGCGAGTTCAGCACTGCGTTCATTCTGCAGACTTCAGTGGTGGAGAGGGACCATTCGACCCTCATTCAAAATAAACTGGGTCTACCTCTCAGTCCCTCGGGAACTCTTCTCACTGAAGGTTAGAACAAGTGTTTTATATCACTCTTTGTATTGCCTTCCATCAATAACATCCAGAGGTGGGAAGTAGTGGAGTACAAATACTTTGTTACTGTACATTTTTATGGTATCAGTACTTTACTCTGCTACTTCTTTTGTGCGACGACTTTTTACTTTTACTTCTTACATTTTGAACCCAAATACCTGTACTTTCTACTTCTTACATGTTGAACCCAAATACCTGTACTTTCAACTTCTTACATGTTGAACTCAAATACCTGTACTTTCTACTTCTTACATGTTGAACTCAAATACCTGTACTTTCTACTTCTTACATGTTGAACACAAATACCTGAACTTTCTACTTCTTACAGTTTGAACTCAAATACCTGTACTTTCTACTTCTTACATGTTGAACTTAAATACCTGTACTTTCTACTTCTTACATGTTGAACACAAATACCTGTACTTTCTACTTCTTACATGTTGAACCCAAATACCTGTATTTTCTACTTCTTACATGTTGAACCCAAATACCTGTACTTTCTACTTCTTACATGTTGAACCCAAATACCTGTAATTTCTACTTCTTACATGTTGAACACAAATACCTGTACTTTCTACTTCTTACATGTTGAACTCAAATACCTGTACTTTCTACTTCTTACATGTTGAACTCAAATACCTGTACTTTCTACTTCTTACATGTTGAACTCAAATACCTGTACTTTCTACTTCTTACATGTTGAACACAAATACCTGTACTTTCTACTTCTTACATGTTGAACCCAAATACCTGTACTTTCTACTTCTTACATGTTGAACACAAATACCTGTACTTTCTACTTCTTACATGTTAAACTCAAATACCTGTACTTTCTACTTCTTACATGTTGAACTCAAATACCTGTACTTTCTACTTCTTACATGTTGAACTCAAATACCTGTACTTTCTACTTCTTACATGTTGAACACAAATACCTGTACTTTCTACTTCTTACATGTTGAACCCAAATACCTGTACTTTCTACTTCTTACATGTTGAACCCAAATACCTGTACTTTCTACTTCTTACATGTTGAACCCAAATACCTGTACTTTCTACTTCTTACATGTTGAACACAAATACCTGTACTTTCTACTTCTTACATGTTGAACTCAAATACCTGTACTTTCTACTTCTTACATGTTGAACACAAATACCTGTACTTTCTACTTCTCACATGTTGAACACAAATACCTGTACTTTCTACTTCTTACATGTTGAACTCAAATACCTGTACTTTCTACTTCTTACATGTTGAACCCAAATACCTGAACTTTCTACTTCTTACATGTTGAACTCAAATACCTGTACTTTCTACTTCTTACATGTTGAACTCAAATACCTGTACTTTCTACTTCTTACATGTTGAACTCAAATACCTGTACTTTCTACTTCTTACATGTTGAACTCAAATACCTGTACTTTCTACTTCTCACATGTTGAACACTAATACCTGTACTTTCTACTTCTTACATGTTGAACTCAAATACCTGAACTTTCTACTTCTCTCATTTTCCAAACAGCTGGTTCCTTTAGTCTGAATGTGTGTTTGATGCGTGATCATTATTCTTTAGAGTCATTGCGTGCCTATTGATTTGAACACGATCCGTGTATCCATCATTTCCTGGTCTTCTCTAAAGAAGAGGGACCAATGGAAACGTTGTCATGTTGCCGTTGTTCAGCATGGAAACATTCATTAGCTAACAATGACATTATTGTTCTATTA